ACTCATTCAAGATTAAAACGAACCCGCTCGTTTCACTCTCAAGTTCATTTAATGAACCCCCAAGCTCTCATGTGGCAACACACGCATCCTCTTCCTGGCTTATGACTGCTGACGTGAGACGAGGACGACCCCCGGAGCTTAAAGTAATGAAGATGTTCACTTAGGGAGCAGCATCAGTGACACAGGTGTACAGAGGCGAGATCCCGACACCCCAACAGGAAAGTCTGGCCGTAAACACGTGGACTTGCATGAATACTTCTTATCCCTTCACCAACACCCCCTCCCTCTTTTGTGTACCAGCCACCCCTCCCCCTAGTCTTGTTTAAGCCCAAGTGGAGAGAATTAGTGGGTGGGAGGGAGGGAGGGAGGGGGAGGGCGGCACCAGCAGCTGTGGCAAGCCTCAACCCTCTCACGTTATAACACATATTGTTGTGTAATGGATGATACTCACCCCTGATACTACCACCTTCACTACAGTGCTGAGAGAGAGACACACCCCCAGCAGTGAATTGGTTTTTGAAAGGGTTATTTCCCAAAGGTCAAACCTCTCACCCCATTCTCACCCCCACAACCTCCTTCCTCCCCATCCACCCCATTCTTATCCCACCAACCTCCCCTCCCCCCTCACCCCATTGTACCCCATAACCCTCCCTCCCCACCCCATCACCCCATTCTTACACCCCGCCAACCTCCTCCTCAGACCTCTCTTCCCATTCTTCCCTCCATAACCTCCCTCCCTCAGACCTCTCACCCCCCCCATAACCTCCCTCACACGACACCCTGCTTATCACAATAACACAGTGAGCCTCATTACCATCAACAAGGATCTCCATTCCTGTCATTCTTTACACACAAGATGAAAGGGAAGCATGAAGCCCTGTCTGTATTGATGTTGGCCGGGAGAGAAAGGAGGGGGAGGGAGGAGGATTCAACCATTCAACATTTAGAACAAGTATGTAAAAAGTGAACCGTAGTAATTAAGTACTAAAGTAAGTAACTCATAAGTGTTAGCTGAAGTACATCAATAAGTACATCATAAGTGCATAAGTTACTAAGGCAAGTAACTCATAAGTGTGTAGGTTAACAGTTAGTGGAAATAAGTAAATTAAAGTATAAGTGAAGAGAAGTGAAAGAGAGCAGAGGTCAGGGCAATACAGTGCCAACAAGATCTGAGTGTCAGGTGTGGCTGATGAATCTGACCCTCGACTCAAGGCTTGGCACTCTGGCACTCTAGGGAGGGGAGGGGTGAGGGGAGGAGTGAGGGGAGGGGTGAGGGGAGGGGTGAGGTGGAGTGAGGGGAAGAGGGGAGAGGAAAGGGGAAACGTGAGGAGAGAGAGAGAGAGAGAGATAATGATGCTGGTTGTTGACGGAGATGAACAAAGGAGAGAGAGGAGAGGACAAAGGATGGAATAGGGAACAGGAAGAAGGGAGAGAAAAGAGACAAAAAAGGTTGTGTAAAGAGCATGGAATGAGTAATGAGGGAAGTGAGTGGAGAAAGCAATGAAAGAACGTCAGGATAGAAGATGAAATAACGAATGAAGAATATAAGAAAAAGACGGAGGAAAATAAGAACAAAAAAGACGATAGATAAGAAAAGAATGAAATTAAAGAAAGAAGAACAAGGGAAGTGAAGAAAGGAGAACGAAAATAGAAATATAAGTGGAGGAACAGCTCTCTCTTTCACACACACACACACACACACACAGCCTGTCCTTCCCTCCTTCTCTACCCTGTCCTTCCCTCTTTTTTTCCTTCTCTGTCCTTCACCTTCTTCCTCCTCCCCACTCTATCTTCCCTCTCTCACTCCTCCTCTTCTTTCCTCATCATCATTTCCTATTATACTATATTTACTACCTCATTTCTCCCACAATCCTTCCTTCCCTCTCTTCCTCAATCATCTTCCCTCCTTCATCTCCCTCACACGCATCCTCCCTCCCACACACGCACTCTCCCTCCCTCTCTCTTACACACACACACACACACCTCAATCTCACATCATCTTGACACACACACACACACACGGGAGGAAGACTGCTGCCAGACACACACACACACACACACGGGGAGGAAGTATCACAAGACACACACACACACACACACGGGGAGGAAGACCGCTGCCAAGACACACACACACACACACACGGGGGAGGAAGACTGCTGCCAAGACACACACACACACACACACACGGGGAGGAAGACCAAGACACACACACACACACACACACGGGGGAGGAAGACCAAGACACACACACACACACACACACGGGGGAGGAAGACCGCTGCCAAGACACACACACACACACACACACACACACACGGGGAGGGAAGACTGCTGCTAAGACACACACACACATTTGGGAGGAAGACTGCCAAGACACACACACACACACGGGGGAGGAAGACCACAGCAAGACACACACACACACGGGGGAGGAAGACCCCGCTGCCAAGACACACACACACACACACACGGGGAGGAAAACCGCTGCCAAGACACACACACACGGGGAGGAAGACCGCTGCCAAGACACACACACACACACACACACACACGGGGAGGGAAGGCTGCCAAGCACACACACACACACACACACACACACACACACACACACACACACACACACACACACCTGCCAGCAGAACCAGCCACCTAAAACACCCAACTCCCATCACCAGAGTTTAATGACCACGCAGCCTCACAACACCGCAGGCAATAATCTCACTAAAGGCTGAAGACATCACATGAAGATTAGGCACCCCTCACGTGAAGATTAGGCACCCCAGATAGCTTATTTCACCTGATGATTAACCACCGCTAATTTCACCTCATACACCCAGCTATAGGAAGTGTGTATTATCAAGTCAATAAAATACTCGTAAAACAATAAAAGTGAACACGGATGAAACACTCAAGCGGTACATAGTCTCTCTCTCTCTCTCACACACACACACACACAAACTCACTCACTCACTCACTCTCTCTCTCACACACACAAACTCTCTCTCTCTCTCTCTCTCTGTTTCCTCACACACACACACACACTCTCTCTCTCTCTCTCTCTCACACACACAAAGCCAGATTATCAACAACAGAGAACTTGTGATCTGACGAACTAACGAACCTCTGAACCCTTTACGGAAATAACGAAGCCATTTTTCGAAGCAATGAACCATGATTTATATATATATTTTTTTAGTTTATATCATTATGGCAGCCATTAATAAAAGTAAAATTAATTCATATTATTTTTATTTAGATCTAAAGACTGCAGAGGATAATCAATGGAGTATAAGAGGAACAAGACTTCAGTGCTTCAAGACTAAGCAATCTTAATGTTATCTGATATAATTGACGATACTGTATTTATATTATCATTATTATTATTATTATTATTATTATTATTACTATACAAAAAGTGAATTAGTTAACGTTATTATTCCCTATATCTCTAATAATTTCCTATAACCAACAACAATAATAATATGTTTAAATAAAATTACTGTAGTTTAAGACCAAACCTACTCTAAATAGTATCTGACCTGGAAACAACAATATGACCCCCTGAGTACGATGAGAACCCCCTGAATACGATGACTTACCCCTGAATACGATGACTTACCCCTGAATACGATGACTTAACCCCCTGAATACGATGACTTAACCCCCTGAATACGATGACTTACCCCTGAATACGATGACTTAACCCCCTGAATACGATGACTTACCCCCTGAATACGATGACTTAACCCCTGAATACGATGACTTACCCTGAATACGATGACTTAACCCCTGAATACGATGACTTGAACCCCTGAATACGATGACATAACCCCCTGAATACGATGACTACTCCCCTAGATACGATGACTTAACCCCTGAATACGATGACTTTACCCCTGAATACGATGACTTAACCCCGAATATGATGACTTACCCCTGCATACGACGACTACCTCTGATACGACGACTTGAATACGATGACCCTGAATACGATGACCCCTGAATACGATGACTTACCCCTGAATACTGAATACGATGACTTAACCCCTGAATACGATGACTTAACCCCTGAATACGATTTAACCCCTACGATGACTTACCCCCTGAATACGATGACTTAACCCCCTGAATACGATGACTTAACCCCTAAATACGATGACTTACCCCCTGAATACGATGACTTACCCCCCTGAATACGATGACTTAACCCCCTGAATACGATGACTTGGTTAAGATAAGAGTTTCAGTGTAATTCTTTTCCTGTGTTTTAGCTTTGAGTTAATCAGTTATGAAGGTTTCAATACCGTCAGATACCAGCAACTCTCATTGTAAGAACCTTTGAAAATCTGGACCCAAAGCCAACAACTTTGTGCCGTAACTTATATGAGCCAATTTGGGGAGTTCTCACATCTCCACTAAGGGGGAAAAGTTAACGTGTGAATCTTTGAGAAATCGAGATCTAGCCAGAGATTCTCATAAGCTCTTGCAATGAAGTTTCCTCTTACACGTATTAGTCGCTACGCTTATAACCGGCTGACACGGGGGAGAGTAACAAATAAAATGACATTAAAATTATACTTTACGTAACCTTGAAATGTTTACTTGGCCCCAGGTGTCTGTCCAGCCTCCACAGGTATACAAGGTTTAACAACGTCTTAAAAGGCGAAATGGGTGCAGGAGAGCCCTCAGTACCAGCTGTTGGGGTTACGAGCCTTCGTCAGTAAACAATTCTAAAACCACCTTAAACTTACACAGCTTCTATAAACAGAATGTGTGGGTGCGTCGTGTTGCTGGGTTCAGGTAAACAATCTTGTGGAGGATGAAACAGTAAAAACAAATCACTTACATAACCGGATCAGTACCTACAGAGTCCTGGAGGCGTAACATTATAGGTCCTTGTCAATAAACTAGCACACACACCCTACCTGCGGCGGAGAACGGTTATAGGGGAACAAGAGCCCTCCACTAGCCGTACAAGGAGTGTTGATGGGGTACTCACCTGAAATAGATTAGCTGTAAGTTCCTGGAGCTCGCTTTCAACCTCGTCCCGTATCTTGGATAACCGTTCCACCTCGTCCTCCTTGTGTTTGAGTTCGTCCTTCACCTTTTCCAGCTCCTCCTCCACGTCTTCAAGCCTCGACGGCGCCGTTCCGTTGATTCCCTCACACGACCCGTTCAAAGAGTGTCCGTTCACTTCAACCACTTTCGCGGGCGAGTCCGTAGAAGAGGAGGCCGACGAAGATGAAGAAGAGGAGGCGGAGGAAGAAGAGGAGGACGAAGAGGAAGTGGAGGACGCATGTGACCTGGCGGAGATGCTGGATATAGACTTGGTTGGGGATGAGGCTGGGGTCACTGAGATCTTTGAGGCGTCATGACCATTACTGACCCCGGACTCCTGCAGGCGGAACTGTACGTCTTTGAGAGACAAGGTGTCCACGGGGCCTTCTTCACTAGAGCCGTTCTGGCCCTGCTCAGCTTTACTCAGGTACCCGGTACCATTCTGCAGCGCCTCAGCGTACGCCTCCAGGTCCAGATTAGCTGCATCGAGGAGCAGGCGAGAATTAGGCGCATCCAGGAGAAGCCGCGGGGAGTAGGGCTCCACGATATGCCCGTCGGAGGTGAGTCCCCTAGAGGCCATGACGTGGCATTTGAGGGCCGTCACCTTGGCCCTTACGTCATGCCGCCAACCATCCATCTCGGAGACCTGGGTGTTGTCCTCCTGGGGCGGCCGCGACCCCATCAACCCCGCCGACGATGATACCGCCACACTCATCACGTTCACTCCGTCGCACTGCCCATCTGAAACAACAAAGACCGGTTAGTCCTTCCTCGCCTCCACCACACCGCACTACACCCCGCCTTACACTTTAATGGTACACCCTAGTACTTACCTACACACTCACAATATTACACTTACCCTCCACAACACCCACCAGCTGGTCTTGCCTAGACACCTCACTATTTTTCAAAATATAGCGTTGATAACAAGTATGATATGCCAACACCCCCACCATCCCCAAGGCCCCACACAGCAGCAGCAGCCATTACACAACTAACGCCTCACCACACTTTCCTCCACAACCTCGCAGTAACCACAACAAAAATAACCCTCTCCCCACTTCCTCACATTATCAACTGGGAAATGGTTACGTTGGAGCATAACATAACATCCTGAAACTACCATACCCTTTTGTTTTGCTTAAGACAAACAGTGAACCTTGCCAAGAAAGAGCAGAATTTTCATGTTATAATTCTTAAAATACTTCGACTTGGCCATAAAATTAAACTCGAGTGAACATTTGAACACTGAAGAAATGTTTCAGCGATACGACTAACCCCATACCCCCATGTGTTCAACTTGCCAATAACACAATACAAAACTTTAATCTGTAACCAAGGAGAAAAATTCAGAAGGTCATCACAATATTTACAAAAAGTTGGCTAAGAACAAAGTCGTCTCCTTTACAGGGGCCCCGGGGTGTTTACTCAGGGCGCTCCGTGTTGATATAACCAGCTAAGACATGGCAACTCAAGACCTTCCTCTCCCCTCATCAAAACATGGCAACACAAGACCTCCCCTCATCAAAACATGGCAACACAAGACCTCCCCTCACCAAAACATGGCAACTCAAAACCTCCCCTCACCAAAACACGGCAACACAAGACCTACCCTCACCAAAACATGGCAACACAAGACCTCCCCTCATCAAAACATGGCAACACAAGACCTCCCCTCATCAAAACACGGCAACACAAGACCTCCCCTCACCAAAACACGGCAACACAAGACCTCCCCTCACCAAAACAATGTCACATTAGCATCACAACCTTACGCGTTAACTCTCCTTCGCGTCATGCAACACTTACGACCAATTCAAGACAAGAGAGAGAGAGTCGATTCATCACCACAACAACTATGTTTCCCGTCATTATATCTGTGTGTGTGTCTCAGGTATACAAGGGCGAGCACAGGTAGTAGGGTAGGTATACAAGGACGAGCACAGGTAGTAGGGTAGGTATACAAGGACTAGCACAGGTAGTAGGGTAGGTATACAAGGACTAGCACAGGTAGTAGGGTAGGTATACAAGGACTAGCACAGGTAGTAGGGTAGGTATACAAGGACTAGCACAGGTAGTAGGGTAGGTATACAAGGACTAGCACAGGTAGTAGGGTAGGTATACAAGGACGAGCACAGGTAGTAGGGTAGGTATACAAGGACGAGCACAGGTAGTAGGGTAGGTATACAAGGACTAGCACAGGTAGTAGGGTAGGTATAGGGCGAGCACAGGTAGTAGGGTAGGTATACAAGGACGAGCACAGGTAGTAGGGTAGGTATACAAGGACTAGCACAGGTAGTAGGGTAGGTATACAAGGACTAGCACAGGTAGTAGGGTAGGTATACAAGGACTAGCACAGGTAGTAGGGTAGGTATACAAGGACTAGCACAGGTAGTAGGGTAGGTATACAAGGACTAGCACAGGTAGTAGGGTAGGTATACAAGGACGAGCACAGGTAGTAGGGTAGGTATACAAGGACGAGCACAGGTAGTAGGGTAGGTATACAAGGACTAGCACAGGTAGTAGGGTAGGTATAGTTATTTCTGGTGTTTTAATGAAGTTAGAATTCTTAGATCAACCACAAGATTAGCCACCCCAGCTTATTTCACCTGAAGCTTAGACACTCCCAGCTTATTTGACCTGAAGATTAGACACTCCAGCTTATTTCACCTAAAGCTTAGACACTCCCAGCTTATTTCACCTAAGGCTTAGACACTCCCAGCTTATTTCACCACAAGATTAGACACCCCAGCTTATTTCACCTGAAGCTTAACCAACCTAACACCTCACCCTAAGGCAGTGGTTAATCATCAGGTGAAATAAGCTGGGGTGTCTAATCTCGTGGTGAAATAAGCTAAACGTCGCATTACCAACACAAAGCTAACTGGAAAGGGGGTAAAATAGTTTGTTTCTTTTTATATACATTATAAATATACCAATTAATTATTAGTTCAGTAAGATGTACACAAACACAGTCCCAACGTTGCCTCACTGATTAAGGGTTTGTGGTTACGTAGAGTTTTGCGACATCTCTACAACACAACTATTTGCTACTTAAAAAACGATAATATATTGTAAGAAAAATAAGATAATTCATAAAAAAAAATAAAGAAATATATAAAAGAACAGCTGTGTGATGACGTGATAAGAATATTAAACTTTATTCTTATCTTTAAAACAAGTGTGTGTGTGTGTGTGTGTGTGTGTGTGTGTGAGTGTGTGTGTGTGTGTGTGTGTGTGTGTGTATGTGTGTGTGTGTATGTGTGTGTGTGTGTGTGTGTGTGTGTGTGTGAGTGTGTGTGTGTGTGTGTGTGTGTGTGTGTGTGTGTGTGTGTGTGTGTGTGTGTGTGTGTGAGTGTGTGTGTGTGTGTGTGTGTGTGAGTGTGTGTGTGTGTGTGTGTGTATGTGTGTGTGTGTGTTATTTCACAATGTTGCAGTAAGAGCCCCTCAAGTCCACACAGGATGAGATGCGATTACCAGAGGAGGGAGAGTAGGGGGGAGGGAGGGAGGAGGAGAGGGGGGAAGGGAGGGGGGAAGGAGGAGAGAGAGGGGAGGGAGAGAGAGGGGGAGGGAGGGAGAGAGGGAGGGAGGGAGAGAGGGAGTGAGGAGAGGGAGGGGGAGAGGAGGGGAGAGAGGGGAGGGGCAGAGAGGGGAGGAGGAGAAGGAGAGGGGAGGAGGGAGAGGGAGGAGAGGGAGGGGCCTACAGTCACAGCACAGTACTGAGTTACCACTGCAGCAAGACTTCATTTAACGGACTATTATAAAGATGAAAGTCCGTTATATCGAGGGTCCGTTAGATGTGAAACCCCCGTCTAATGAACCATATTGAGATGAAAGTCCGTTATATCGAGGGTCCGTTAGATGTGAAACCCCCGTCTAATGAACCATATTGAGATGAAAGTCCGTTATACCGAGGGTCCGTTAGATGTGAAACCCCCGTCTAGTGAACAATATTGAGATGAAAGTCCGTTATATCGAGGGTCCGTTATATGTAAAACCCTGATCTAATAGAGAGAGAAGTCCGTTATATGGAGGTTTACTGTCAGAGGAGCCGCGGGGTTAAATTCTGCTTCTTCAGCTGCTGGTTAGTGCATCATCGCCAGAGCCTCAGCCATACCACGCTGACCCTCTCTCTACCTCCCTCTCAACCCTCTCTCTCTACCTCCCTCTCAACCCTCTCCCTTTACCTCCCTCCCAACCCTCTCTCTTTACCTCCCTCTCAACCCTCTCCCTTTACCTCCCTCCCAACCCTCTCCCTTTACCTCCCTCTCAACCCTCTCCCATTACCCCCTCTCAACGCTCTCCCTTTACCTCCCTCTCAACCCTCTCCCTTTACCTCCCTCTCAACCCTCTCTCTTGAGTATTATGAATTACCTCAGTTAGTTCGTCAGGGTGGGGTGGGGTGGGGTGGGGTGGGGCGGGGTGGGGGGAGGCAGTAAATGTAAGAGTTGTGTCCGGCTTTGAAAACTTAATTCAGGAATCAAGTAAACATTAAGACATCTAAGATTATTTTACGCTGGTTAGGTTAGGTTAGATTAGGTTAAGCTGAGTAGAGTTACGTTAGGTCAGGTCACTTTAGGTTAGATTGAGTTAAGTTGAGTAAAGTTAGGTTAAGTCAGGTCAGGTTAGGTTAGGTTGAGCTGAGTAGAGTTACGTTAGGTCAGGTCACTTTAGGTTAGATTGAGTTAAGTTGAGTAAAGTTAGGTTAAGTCAGGTCAGGTTAGGTTACGTTAGGTCATTGAGGTAAGTTTAGTTGGCTTTTAGATGACGTTCCCCTCCAGAAAAAAAATCGTCTTCTTTCAGCAGAGATATTGTCTGTGTACTGAGACACAGGGTACTGTCCCACGCCCCGTCAGGAGAGGCAGGATGGTGGGTACAGAGGTAGCCTGCCGCCATCAACACCACAGGAGTCACCCACTACAACACCCTGCCATAGCGGTTTCCTTGATTGCGCATCACTTGAAGATTAGAGACCCCAGCTTATTTCACCTGATGATTAGACACCTTAAAGTTAACCTAACCTAACCCACACACAACACCTTGACTGCGCATCACTTGAAGATTAGACACCCCAGCTTATTTCACCTGATGATTAGACACCTTAAAGTTAACTTAACCTAACCTAAAGTTAACCTAACCTCACCACAGTAGAAGTATGGCTAATCTTCAGGTTAAATAAGCTGGGGGTGCCTAATCTCCATGCCTAAATTTTTCTTTAAGTTACATATTGAATAAACATACCCTAATGAACGGTGCTTTATTGACCTTGGTACTTGAATAATCTATAACAAACATAACAAGTAACACATACACACAACATACATATACAAACACAAAAAACAACCACACAAAAACACACACACACGAAATTTACGGTAAATAACTTTATAAAACAGTGTTAGGTGACAGCGCACTTCTTCGACAGTGAAACAAAAACAAGTTCCACGTCTTGTCTCGCCTTAATATATCAAACACAAGCGGTGGATGATGCAATGTACAGCTACACCCATCCCTCCTTCACCACCACCACATGACACTATACACCTTCACCACATCATAAACACATACCACACTATACCATAAACACACCCTACACCATCCCACACACTACATAATACCCGTCACACTACATAATACCCGTCACACTAACATCAACATCCGCACCTATGTTTACTTCCGTCTTCAACTCACTACAGGACCTTATTTTCCTAAACATTTATTTGGGTTAACACTATACAGTT